GATGCACTACAGTGTCAGCTTTTCTAAAATAGAAACTTCAATGTTCACATCTTTCTAAATGATTCTACTTTTCAATGACCTACAAATAATCCTAATAATAATCCCATTTTCAATCTTCCAACTGTTCATATTTTTTGGTTAATTAACAAACCTGTTACAAATGTGTTGTTCAACAAATTTGAGCCTTTGCCACATTTATTTGATCACCATTGAAACCTATGATCTCTGGACACGTCGTTAGCTCAAATATAAACACATGTGTCATGGAACACGATGATGTCATAACTCCAACTGACATGCTCAGAGCACCGCACTTCAGATAATGGTTAATGGTCCAGCCCTCAACAGCTCTACGTGAATTATGGGGTTTCATCATATGCCGTTTCCATGGAAACGCCTCGCAATTAAAGACGATGTCGCTATAACTCCTATGAAAATGTTGAAAAAGTGCTCAAACTTCACATGTGTGCTAACAGTCCTGCCGTGAAGACATTTACGGGACAGTTTTGAGATTTCTTCAAATGCTCACCATGAAACACGGTTTTCTCATAACTTCAGTGGAAATGCTCCAAATGGCCCAAAACTTCAAAGGTTTGGTAACGATCAACACATCTAAGAGTATTATTCATCAAATGCCGTTGTTATGGCGACAGATCATTCACCATCAAGTTAGTTCAAAAGTTTGCAGTTCAAACATTCTGCTGCTTTTCCAAGCCTTTTTACTTTCTTTTCTTCTTTTATCACACATTCAAGCCCCAAGTGTTCATGTATGTCTAAATTATTCACTTTCTTCTTACACATCACATTTCAGCATAGCAGTTTAGCGTCAGCTTTTCAGCATAAAGCATTCTCACTAGCAATTTATTCAGGAATTGCATTCTATAGTTTATAAAAGCTATACGCTGTTTGTTTGTGCTGCAAATACATAACACACCAGAATGATTTGTCGTAGAACCCTTTTCTATATATTTAACCTGCCTGTGCTGAATTTGATTATAACTAAGGGAGGTTTTTAAAAGCAAGTGAGTCTTTTCACTCAGTGACTATGAAAAAGAAGACATACTGTACATTTAAATCTGTAAACTTTTTTTTTTACTACAATACGACCATGTTGGAACATTGCAAGTAATAAAGGGTTGTTTCCTGTTTGTCCTATTTTGACAACATTGGATGATGAGGCATTCTTAAATAGCTCTCAACTACTGGATGAAATGCCATGTCATTTGACTACTAGTGCAATCATCATCGTAATGTATGTCTAATACTTTGGTATTGCTCTAAATGTATTATATGAAAATACATCTAAGCAACATTTTTGCCCATTGCCTTTGATTTATGTTTCTGTTATATATTGTTACATGATGTGTGTGTAGGTCCAGGGTTGGCATTCATTGTCTACCCACGTGCTGTAGCCATGATGCCCATGCCTCAGGTGTGGTCGGTGTGTTTCTTCCTCATGATCATTCTGCTCGGATTGGACAGTCAGGTACCCGCCAAACCTCTCTGAATAAATAAATGTAGGAATTGATTAATAAACAAAGGTCTGACTCTCACTGCTTTCTTCAAGTTTGTTGGTCTGGAGTGCCTGATGACGTCACTGACTGATTTGTTCCCTGCCCTGCGCCGAGGCTACAGACGTGAGCTGGTTCTGTTGGCTATCTGCGGTACCTGCTGCATAATGGGACTCTCCCTAGTCACTGAGGTTTGTATAGTAAAGTCCATGCAAACAGTTAGCTTTAGTATTATTTATGCTACACTTAAAATCGTTGGAAGACTGGTAAAATGGTACATATATCAAAGCAGAGAGAACTGTGTATGAAAGGGACTTTAAACTAACTACAAGGCCACCTTCACCAAGGCCAAATGCACTAGTGGAAAATGTGATTCAGATGTACTACAACATGTAATGTGTTATACCTTGGCAAATGCACACACTTTCACCAATATGTATGTAAAGCATGCCAGTAGTATTGCATAACACACATACAAACTGACAATGAAACACAACCTTCTTGATTTATTAAGTCAATCCAACATCGAACATAAAGTGATGTTGATTACTTCCAGGACTGGTAAGCCTTCATGTTTCTGTCATAAGCAAGAACCCGAAAGGTACTGCACAACTGCTAACAGAAAAAGACAAATTGGCATTAAGATGCAGTCAAACCTCCCTCTGTTGCTCTAGGCTTGCAGGAGAGCCTTTTTTTCATCAATATGTTCTTTTTGAGAGTTGCATGGATAAAAACAAGAAAATAAACACTAATTAAATAAAAGCAGTTTGAAAATATTAAAGCGTACAGCCATAGTCAAAATAAAGAAATATATACACTTTCAGCTGCTATACCTTGGATGTCCTTCCCACCCTGAAAACATTACAAGACAGCGTCCCAGATCTTATTCAACCGACCTCCTCTATTTTCATTATAACATCTCAATCTCTCCAGATGTAATGTGTTTGCCATGTATTCCAACCACAAGTCATACCTGTCAGTCCCTTGTTCACACTTGTAAGATTTACTTTTTGCAATCACCATTTAAAACACAAAAGCAATTATTTTCAGACTATTAACTGGCGATGAGTAGCTTGTTTGTCTAAAAATGGCTATGAGCCCACCAGGTTCCCAATGCTTTCCAAGAGACTCCATGAAATAGTAGAATATGCTGTTCAAACATACGAAAAGTTGAATTACAGTCCCTTCACTATATCATAAGTAGAAAGAATGTATTAAAAAACTGATACCATATATTAATTGCAACCAGGTGAAACATCAGAACATCCAACTGTATAAAAGTGTGTCAAAGAAATAAATTAGCAACATGAAACATTAAGAAAACTGAAATATCAGAACATTCAGATGTCAATGGGACTTTAATCTTAAAGCTCATTCCCAGTGATTTTCACTTTTTTACTTTAAAGAACCTTGGGTAATATACACTGATTATGTCGTAAGACACTTTTGGGAATATAGTTAATTTGAAGTTGTTTTTTCCTTGTATTTAGGGAGGCATGTACCTGCTCCAGCTGTTGGACCATCATGTCTGCAGCGGCACTACCCTGCTGCTCCTCTCCTTCTGCCAGTCTGTCAGTATTGCCTGGGTCTATGGTGAGTCAACGACAACACAAATAAATCAAACAATTGACGCAAAATTGTATATCCTTTTCATATTATGAAAACTTGTATTAAAGCTTATTTCAACAGGATAAACAACAATATGTACATTTGATGATAACTTAAAGCATAATCAAAGACAATATTGAACTTTCAAATATCTTTTGTTTTCTCTAAAAAGGTGCAGACCGTTTTTATGGCAACATCACAGACATGATAGGGTATCGTCCCTTCCCATTGATGAAGTACTGCTGGCGCTACATCACTCCCTCATTTTGTTTTGTAAGAGTTTTGTCCTTTCATATATTGATGTTTCTTCCATGTATGTTGCTATACTTCTCATGAACATTTCCATTTGATGTATGGTATGATAAAATTGTGTACATTCATAAGAGATGAAAATGTAAACACAAAAAAGCTATTTAGTGAATATAAAGCACTTATAACAGGCTCTACAGTACATGTGATAGTAATCCCATTTGTCTCCTCTAACCACAGGGCACCTTCATCTTCTCTATCTTGAAATACACACCGCTGAGGTTCAATAACACTTATGTTTATCCATTCTGGGCTAACATCTTGGGATGGTTCATTGCCAGTGTGTCCCTCTCCCTCATCCCACTCTTTATGTTATACAAAATGATGCATGAAAAAGGCCCTCTTCGACAGGTAAGCATAACTATCTTGTTTCCCTTGTTTTTACTGGTAAATCTTGCTCTCAAAATAATTAAAAGTGACTCACTGATATTGATAGGTCAAACTTTAAACCTCTGATATAGATTTGAATCATTTTGTGCATGTGTGCAATTACTGTTAAAGTTAGGATTTGTTAAAAGGTTGTCTGGACACCTTTGTGTAAAATATGATCCCTAGAGAATCTGCAGGATTTCTCTTGATAAACAGTACGCAAAACAAAAAGAAACATGGGATTATATCACTGTACTAGATACATTTTATCTTTCACAGACTTGCATTACCTTTGCACATTCAGATTAATTATACAGATCATTATCAACCAGTAATTATAAGTAATATTAAACAGATTAAGGTGATAGATTAGCTCCACTTTACCAGCCGCAACACTAAAGGGCTATATTATGGAATCAGTAATTACAATTTGATTATTGTGAAAAACCAGGAATGCAGGCTGAAGTGCAAAAATAAGGATTGTATTCACCCAATTTATGTACAATTTTAGGATGGGTAATAAAATCAATTAGGTTTAAACAAAAAGGTGCAGATTAAAACAGACACAATCTAGCATTTAAGGGATAAACAAAACCTCACAAAAATGGGTGACATCCTGTGTGCTCTTCTGCCCAAGAGCAACTCACATACCCCTGTCATCTCCACACTGCACGAATGTATAGCCCTACTGGCCAGTCCATTGTTGCATGCAGGGGGAAGAATTTCTAAAAAGGGGTGGCTTAAATGGAGTGGCCTCTTTAAACACCCCTCAGGGTTTGAGGGGAATGGCGTAGTCCAATTAGCTGACACATCTATAAAGGCAGGTGTTGTTCATCGGCTCAGCCTTTTGCCAGGAGCAAGGTGAGCTGTAAAACACTGACAATCGGATTACACACAACACAATAGATATTTTAAGCAAGATTGCGTGCACTCAACCTAGTAAAATAAAGCTGTTTCAAATCAATGTGTATGTCTGATGTAAACAAAAGCATAACCTTTAGGATGTGTGTTCGTTTGTGAGGCTTGTAGCCCTCACAATTATGTAATGGTTATTATTCAGATTTAAAACATTTCGCATGTTATTTATTTTATTTTAAGTAGATCAGAGTATCAGATACATTTTATAAGGTGGAATTGCTACTTTTACAAGACCTGAATACTTATTCCCCCAGATTTAAATCTGGTTATATTCTAGGTTTTCACTTTAAATGTATCCCATTAAAAACATTTAAGAGCAACAATGAATCCTACTGACAAGTATACGTTGTGCATCCACCGGCCAATGGGGGATAGCTAACAGCTACAGTAGCCATGAAACATAGCCCTGCTTCTACGGTTATAAAACTCACCCTGCAAATAAACTACATGTAATACATATATACCATTCCCAACAAGCGAGGCAGAGATATAGCCAAACATGACACGCATTCAGCAGAGAGCCATAAAGACAACAGAAAAAGGAGAGGGGGACATCCATAGCTGGCTGCTAAACTACAGTGGCTAACTTTAGCATAGATTAAATGAAAATGTAAACATTAGTGTTTTCGCTAGTAGAAGGTCAGGTCTTGTGTTACTTTGAGCAGCAGTACTGGATGATATGTAGATATAATTCTCGTAGATATATCCCTTGTCTTCAAGGATATAACAAGATTAATTTAGTAAAGACCATGCAGCTACACAGTATAATACAGTAGCAGCAACACAAAAACACAGTGAAACCGGAAATGACGAAAAGTGCTTACCGTACGACGTCACCAACGCCACGCTCTGAAAGACGTCCCGTTGAATCTGGTCTTGGTATTATTTAGCCACATAGTACTACTGTAGGTGACAATGACGTTTTTGTGTTTATCCCAAATACATTACGAAAATATTCCCACTTCATTACACAAATACAGTAGGAAAATATTCCCACCGTATTATTTACTATTTGTCGAGTTTAACGTTTGCTAAAAACTATGTCTAGTTGTTTTGGGTAAATAAATATTGCAACTAAGAGGTAGGGAATGAGTGACATTGAAGTCAACATTATTGGTTGATTGTTTGTTTTGGACTTTTTTCATTTGTATTTGAACAATAATTGGACTTTACAAATCATACAGAAATATCAGAATCACAATTCCATTATTCATCCCACAGAGGGGAAATGTACAGCAGTTTAGCTAGAGACGAAGGATACAAATCTCCCACTATTAGATTAAAAGGTGTGCACATAGTTGATATTTTTTTTAAATGTACAGAAGTACACATTCAGGGAAAACAAGTAAGTTATTGATCAAATAAAAAAGAACATTGTAGAATATACTGTGTGGTAGCGGGTTGATTGCATTGATAGATACAAAATAAATAGAGGTGAATTGTCAGGGTTGAGTGAAGCAGGCAGGACCCAAATACAGATTTAAAAAGAAAATACCTTTATTTTAAGGTTAATGTAACAACAGAACTCTTCCCAGTGAACACAGTCAAGACAAATAAGGATCTCACAAAAGGCGCTTTCACACCGCAGTACTTTTCCCACAAAGGCTCATGAGAACTTAGTTCATCAGAACTCTTTTAGTTCTGATGAACTAAATACAGATCGCGTTCACACCAGAATAAGTCCCTGGGGCTGGATTAGGCAAATGAAGCCGCTGACGTCACTTCTTCTTCTTCTGCTTTGGGTTTACTGGCAGGCCGCAAACAACTTCACGGCGTATACTGCCGCCCAAAATCCCCGGAAGTCCCCGGAGTTGGGGACTGGCTTCAGTAGAAGCTGCTGGGACTCCCAGCAGCTTCTACTACTCCCAGCAGCATCTACTGAAGCCTTCCGAGTAAATCGCCAAAACGCCGACACCTCCTCATCTCCACCGCTCCCATGTTTTATTTTGTGTTGCCATAAGTTAGTCTCTCTGCATTTCTGCGCTGGGCTAATGCTAATGCTAATGCGAGGATAATAAAATGGTGGCTTCACAACACTTTTTTTGAGTTTTACGGGGCGTGGTTTGCATTCCGCCCAGCCAATCAGACATAGGAGCCTTTTTCTCCCACGAAAGTCCCTGCTCTCTAGCAGGGATGGAAAAGGGGGTAAAAAGGTTCTCATGAACTAATTTTAGTTCCGGCTCTTTTTGGTGTGAACGCGACATTTCGGAACTATATCGGAACTAAAGTGGGAAAAGTACTGCGGTGTGAACGCGGCTAAAGACTAACAGGAAAAAACGAACCTAAATGCCCACAGGACTAATCAAAGAAACAAGAGACAGGTGAGGAGGGAGGAGAAAACACAGGGGCACCAGGTGAACACAATCAGGAAATCAGACAAAGGAGGGCAAACACAGAGACAGGAATCAACAGACAAGACAGGGGGTGAACACTTTTCAAAATAAAACAGGAAACCAGAGACAGACAAAACACAACACAGACAGACCTTGACATGAATAGTGCAAATAATCTCTCATGGTTTGCACAAATGAATAAAGAATGCAAAAAAATGTATCCTCGGCATCTGAACCAAATTTCACTTTTATGTTGAATGTCTTTTGCCCCCTCAGCGATTCTTAAATCTCTGCAAGCCTATGGATCTCACCTTGGACCAAAGTCTTCCGATGCTTGGAACCACTACTAGCGTGGAGCTGAAGCCCTTATCACCAAATGGGGAACTTGCTAACTGAGCCTTGACAGAGGTTTTTCATGAGTAATGTTATTTTTTTTTAAGTCATTCCTAAATATTTCTCAGAGGGTGGGTTTTTGCTCTTGTTTTTGTATACTTAAAAAGGTCCCATGTCATGGCCATTTCCACTGATCATAATTCCATTTTTGAGGTCTAGTAGAATAGATTTATATTGTGCAATTTTCCAAAA